TAATTGCACTTTAATCACATAAAAGGTTACTGCTGGCTAATTTAATGCTTTGCTTGCTGTGAAGAAAACAGCTGGAAATTACCATTTAAAGTGATGGATTTATTAAGTAAAAAATATATTCAGCAAAGTGACCCCTTCACAGAGAGCCCCTGACTTTCTCTACCTGGAGTACAAAGCTGTAAATTCAGTGATATTTCATAAAGACGCTCGTACCAAAAGGAGTTTTGTTGTGTTCCTGAGTCCTCATTATTACAGCACCTACTCCTAGATATATATAAACACCGTGTCAGTAGAGCCACAACACACACACACACACACACACACACACACACACACACACACACACAAACACAGACTTGACAGAGAGGCGTGCTGCTGAAGAGGACAGTGTGGTGGCCAGGTGACGAACACCAATATTATTTGTGCAGCAGCCAGCATTCAATCACGCTCCCCCCTCCACTTTCTGTCATCTGCCCTTTTCTCTTGCTGTTCTTGGCAGTGGTGGTGAAAAGATTTCTGGGGCTATCACTCTTTCTCTCGCCCTCCTCTTCTCTCTGTCGGTGAATCGCTGCCTCTCCTAGCACACCCCGGTTTTAAAAGGCTTGCTGCTTTCTCCTTGACTGTCATTTTCTTTCTCCCTACATACCATCTCTCATCAATAACTGAACTGTGATCACTCACAGCACAGTATAACAGTGACGTCACATCCCAAGCACAGGCAGCCAGCTGTGACTGTAGCACACAACATGGTTCCACATCAAACGCCTCACGACTAACACTGTTGAACAATTTCATGGCACTGACAGTAAAGGAACATTTCTCCAGTCTTTATGTAGCCTGTCGCTTCTGTTTTGGTTTCCTTGTTTTCGAAATGCAGCATCAGCAGGCTGTGCATGCCGACAGCACAGACATTTCCACAGTGGCCAGTGCAGTCTGGCTGAAGAGACTAGAACAAACCAATTTGATCTGATCACTTGCAACAAACATCAGGTTGCAGGTTTGCCTGCTGTGTCTTCCTCCTTTGTTTTCTTTCTCAGCTCCTTCCCTTTTCCCTTCAAGCCTCTTTCTTAGCTCACCCTGTTAGTTTCATACTAACTCCCTTACCTCCTCAATACCATCCTTCAAACTCTGTTATTCTGTGTGTACGTTACTTCATGTTGCTTTGGCATCCATCTCTTCCTCTCTCTCTTGCTCTCTGAATCCCTGGTTCTCTCATTTTTGCACCCGCCCACGTCCTGTGCCTCTCCTGCTCTCATCCTTCTCTATGGTTCTGGCTGCCATCTCTCTTATTTACTTCCTCCAGCTTCCTCATCCTTTCTTGCATTCACTTCGATTGCGCTTGTTTCCCCCCCTTGTCCCCAATACGCTCCATCTTTCCTTTTTTTTTTTTTTGCATTCAACTTAGCAAGTCTCTCTCCATTGCTCTCTCCCTCTCCATGTGGAAATGGTTTGTATTGATCCACTCTCAAACCAGGGAGAAGGTCGGGGGTTCACTAATAAAGCTCAGGGACAAAACAGACAAACAAACACAAGGCCACACACATTCACAGCTGACAGATATTGGAAGGTAACATGGCAGAGGTGATGAAGGTTGTGTGTATGTGTGTCTGCTTGGAATAAACACACGTTTTGATACTGTTACGCGTTATATGACCAAAATATTGTGTTTAAAGGAAACAGCCACCATCTTGCTGCACCAATAAACAATTAATTTTAATGAAGGCCACAAGCTAGAAAATAGCTCCACACATGGAGCTGATAAAGTGCCTGGTCATCGACAATTCCTGTGTGGCCAACAGCTGTCCATGCCTACACCCCCATCACCTCCACCTCTCTATAGCAGGGTCAGTCTAAACATATTCATTGTACCCTTTCACATCACAAAGACTTTCCCACACCACTCAGTCAAATAGAGTTTGGGTATGCACTTATGAGCTTGTAGCCTAGAGGTTACAGAGGTGCATCTGAATTCCTGAAGTGGCTGGGAAACTGAGTGAGGCTCAGTGCCAAACAATGGTAGCTTAAAGATTAGAGAGCTGCAATTGAGAAGACCTGGATCAGATAGTAAAATGAAAATGCGAAATGGTTCCCAGTTTGTTTTGCCACTTTGTCCAAGTTGGAAAACTGGCACCTGGTATAGGTGGCAGGTATAAACCCAGAAATGTGCTTATTCTATGCAAATCAATTTCACATCTCTTGTAGCCAAAAGAACCCATTTCATGCAATACTACTAAAAAATGATAAAGACTCATCAAAGGTCCGAGTTGAAATTCCTACAACCATTGGCTGAGATAAAGGTCAGTGGTGGGCGGCTGACATCAGGTCAGTGCTTAGGGGTAATGTGGCAGGCATCATTATCCTGAAGCTGACCCCTTGAGCCTAGCTGCTGTCTGGGGGTCAGCCAGTCAGCTCATCTGTGAGGTTATACCTTCATCACTGATGCCAGCTTCTATGTGACAACAGTGTTTGAGAGGATGTCATAAAATACTGGTGAAGTAATCCTTATCACAACTCCAGCAACTGTGGCAACTGGGCTGACTGGCAGAGTGGCATTGGGAGTGGAAAAAAAAAGAACGAGGCATATAAGGATCACACAAGCATTCATTAACAGTGGATGCACGTATATATGTGGGTGTATGACTGACAAAGGTAGATGTAAAGGTTGTAGAAAGGGTTGAAGAATCACATTTTTTAACTGTGGGGTGCTCTTTCTGCAAAACAACTGTTATAACTTAAAGTTCACAATGGCACAAAAAAATCCTGGATCAGAGAGAGTGAGCTTTCAAATTGACAACAGCACTGCACTGTTGCTCTGACAAGTAAAGGGTCTATAGGGTGCACCAGCGAGGCTGTGTTAGGTGAAACGCAAACAAGTCTATTTTGGAATCTTATCAAAAGCCAACACGCTGCAGTCTATGTTGAAAATCTATTGCGAGTTATCATGACAGCAATCATTTTCTCTTCTAACTAAATGCTAATGAGGTAAACAGTGTATCAGCACCATATAACAATGTTATCTACCTGGCATGTGCACATGCACACACAGCGTTTGACAGGCCAGTACAATGAGTTACTGTTTTGATGTGCACTGCAACAAAAGTACAGTCAAATTCTTCAGTGCAGTAACCTGTGATTTTATACCACGGCAATCCGTACCAAGAGCTCCTGCTGCACCAGTGCAAAGGGCTAATTGAAATAAATGAGACACTCTTTTTTGCCTCAGAGCTACTGACAATGTGATGAACCCCAAGAAAGAAAAGCCACAAAAAAAAGAGTGAAGACAACCACTGAACAGAAAAAAGACATCATTCAGAAGGTGGCAAAAGGAAGAGGGGGGGTGAAAGAAAACTTGGCTGGGTCATTCACATACCCACTTACACTACCCACACAAAACACACCGGTGCACTCAAGCTAATGAAGACACAGAGGAAGAGCACTGCTCTTACCAAGTATCCCACTCCATTAGACGCCACACAAGGTGAATGGTTTGTGTGTGTATGTGTGTATAACAAAGACAGCTGCCGGTAAAAATGGTGTGCACTGACATTTAAAGAAAAAGCTTTAAAACAGGTCTTTTAATTAAGCTATCTTAAGCCAGAGCAAGATGGAGGGGATGGATGGGTGAATTTAAAGAGCACACCGGATGGAAGATGGGGTCGCTGAGACAGGTGGTCAACTATGAATGAGGCACATTAAACACTAGTAGATAGAACAAAGACAGAGGATTCAGGCAGATGTGTCCTGAAGAGAGTGGCTATGTAATGGGAGACAAAAAAAGTGAGAAGTGAAGGTTAGAGAAAATAAACAATGTGAGCAGGAATATATGTTCAACATAGAGAAAACTAGACAGCACTCAGAGAGTGCAAACCTCCGCCAAGGCAGATCAGTCGCCAAAATGCCATTACACCTAAGAGCAATATTCCCATGACAGTTTGACCCTCATAATATGATTTCGTGAAAACGTATCCCCAGCATCTGGAGTCACACTAATATCAGTATCAGTAACTTTTGAAGACAGACAAATCAGTTTGGTGTGTTGTAGATCTTATGTGGATGTTACCATGCAACTTTTGTCCAAGCACTGCATGCATTGTGTATGAAGTTAGAAGCAAAAGTACTGAAATTGGCCCTATCTCACAATGGTGAAGAATCCTTTAAAAATTCTTGGATCCACCTAAATCTAATGGATTGTTCTGTGGGCCATTCTCCCTCTCTCTCTCTCTCCCTCCCTCTCCCTCTCTCTCTCTCTCTCTCTCTCTAAAAATAGGTCATCCAAACCCATTAATTACTTTCTGAGTTATGCCATGAACAAACCAACTACCAAACAAACACTGGCAAAAATAGTAACTAGGACTGCATACTGTTGTGTAGCGGCTTAAGGTCTCCATTGCAAGCGCATGTGTGTCTGGGTGAGCAGTGCTCTCAGTACCGCATGCAGGGCCATGCACTGTGGATCAGTTAGTAAAAGCTCAGTCTAGCTCATGTTATCCATCAGGATCTCACGCTGCAGTGTGCCGATCCATGCTGTGTGTGTATGTATGTGTGTGTGTATGCACGAGGGCTACTCCTGAGTAACATTTCACAAATCCAGGGGACTGCACTAATGATGTCCCCTGCCTGACTAAATCAAAGCATCAAGGCATTGTGAAATAAGAGTAGTAGACAGTTTCAAGGTCAAAAACTTATTGTTAGAAGACTAGTTTTTAATATGCGACTACTCCATGTGTGTATATTAATTTTTACTAGGGAGCAACAGTTTTGGTAACATTCTTGAGAAAGGGTTGGCCCCAATTGAGCAGTGCTCCTTGGCTAAAAGCAAAGGTGTCATACTTTCCCATTAGACAGCTAATGATAACACTAATTTGGTATGCCTCAAAATGAACACTTCCTTGACTGAGAAGTAAACAATTCATTATAAGGACAAAGGATGTAAAGAAAGTATGTACACAAGTGGACTTGGAAAAAACACAGAGAAAACACATAGAAAGGATCGAGCTTACCGAGTTGATGCAGGCGAGCTCCTTGTTGAGCAGCCAGGGTAAGGAGAGTTTCCCCTCTCCTTTGTAGCAGGACTGAATCCTTTCTTTGATCTTCTCCTTTATCCTCCTCAGGGTGAACAGACACAATGCTGACTCTTTGGGTGGTTTGGCCCGATTCTTCTGACCCTGAGAGAAGACCGTGAAGAGGATGTCTTCATTCTCTGAGATCCCCAGAGAGTTGGCCAGCTGCCGGCCTGGCCGAGCCAAGAAGGCGTCCTGCACCAGGCGATACTCTACCCCATCTTTAGTGCAGCCAATCGGGAACTCAACATAGGAGTAAAACTTAGGGTCGTCTACGCAGAGGCGGACGATTTTGGAAGTGAAGAACTGCTCTCCGCTAGCATCGGGGGAAGTCAGTTGGGTGTCCAGCTGCATTGTCAGGTAGTAGACAAACTGCTCACTGCTGAAGCTGTACACGTAATAGATGTCAAAAGCAGGGAACTTTGACAAAGTGTCTGAGGGAATCTTCAGCTGAGAGGAGACAAACTCATCCTGATAGACAAAGCTGAACATGTCAGCATTTTCTTCATTCTCCATCAGCTTGCGACTGGACAAGGTTGGAAAGTATTCAGACTTGCCATCGATGGGTGTTCCAATGAATAGCTTGCTGGTAGGACTCTGGGTGGAGCTTATGATCACCCCAGACATGGTGCCCGACTCTGCCACGCTGGAGAGGTAGTGTTCCTTGCGGTGGTGGGGCTCACCGAGCTTAAAGAGATCATCCAGACGTAGGAACTGGCAGATGCCCTGCGAGGTGCTGCCACAGGCAATGAGGCGGTTCTGTGCGTAGTCTATAAGAAGAAGTTTATTCACATTGGGGGTCTGGGCCAGATCATAAGGGCAGGACTGCACACTGGGTGGAGGGTAGCACTTCTCATTGTCCACCACTGGGCCAGTCATGTGGCTGCGCAGTTTGGTCAGGTTGCTAGACAGCTTGAAAATCCAGTTTACAGCTCCCACATAGACTTCTCCAGTTTTGTTGTGGATGGCGAGATGTGTCAGCCCATACTCAGAAGGGGTAAATCGTTTGAAGGGAGGGGGCTGGCCTCCAGAGAAGGATGAGCTCATGTTAAGCAAAATCCCCAAGAGGAGAAACAAGTTCCCCGTGCTAGGGAAACCCACTGACCGAGCTAAGGGACACATATCTAGGCTGTCTAGAGGCAAGGATTAGGGGGGTGGGGAAGGAGAGAGAGAGGAGTACAAGCTCTGGCACCAAGTTCCAAATCAGGATTTCTTTTCTGCTCTATTGTCAAAAATAAAGGAGGACACTTCGAGGGGAGAGAGAGAAGGATGAGGGAAAGGGAAATGAAACTCCTACTGATCCGCTGTCCTGTTCTCAGCGTTGCAAGATGTCATCTGGAGCGTCATCCACAGAAGGTGGGAGCCCTGGAAGGCAAGAAGAAGAAAAAAAACATGGTGAGTGTACAAGGAACATTTTCTATTGATTATGCATCAAGCAGGCAGAGAGGCCTAAAAGGCTCACAAAGCTGAAATTAGAAAAAATAATTCAATCTGATCAACCTGACATTTGCCCTGGTGATAAATAAATGTCTGGAAGGCAAATGCGTGTCTGTATTTAATTATGAGTGAAGACAGCAGGGGAGGCATGGCCAGATTATTAAGGCTTTGTACACATAACGCAAGTCTTGCTGAAATGAGTTATGAACTCACAACACTAAACTCTTTAATATTTCATAACTTTCAGCGTTACTATGGTGGCTTTGTAGGAGGCATGTGTTTGAAAAAGTGCCAGTGGGCACAGTTACAATGACAGCAAGCAATTTATAGCCAGGTCTGCTCAAAGGCTTTCCTGTAATGTTTTGAACAGTACCAACACACTATCCAGTAACCTCTTATTGTAATTACGCCTGCAGGTCTGGCAACTGTGTCCAGACATCAAGTTCTTGTGACAGCACGTCACCCAACACACTCTGCTCCCCCCTCAGGGAGCTACAATTGTAATGTATAATTTATATATCAGGACAGCTATAGTTTAGGCAAACTGAAGTATTAAAACCCTTGACTGAGATGTATGCAGCCAATAAAGGACAATTTTTATTTAACAATTCACAGATGATATGAAAGGCCGTTATCTCCCTCCTCCCAGCACACTCAAAAACTGTCTCAACACATCAAAAGAAGTCTGCCTCGTCATTCGTTTTAAATAAACTGCTGCACTGGTGCATCATGGGTTCTGGAGTAAACTCCATGAATATGTTGAACACGCCTCAACCTCTGCTGCAACACAGTGCAGCATTGTTATACTAGCAAATAAAATACCGTCAAGAGCACATGCTTTACAACATGGCTGGCTCAGTTCTACTGTAACCCCCCCTCCCACACACACACACACACTCTCACACTCCTTTCATTTATCAAATTCCCACAAACATTCAAATGTATTTCACCCAGCTCAAACTCTAACCCCACACCTGGTACAGTATCCTCTGAGATGCAGATAACAGAGGCTATATATTAAAAAGTTAGAGTGAGATAATTTATAAGATAGAGGTTTTACAGGTAAAGGACAGGGAACAAGATGAGAAGAGACAGTCAGGACTATTTGCTGTTTTGAGCATCCTCCAACAACAACAACACAATGAACACAAGGAGGAGGGTTTGCCAGGCTGTCGTGTGCTGCCACTACTTGACAGGCCAATCATGTTCCCACGGAAATGGGACATTAGTTCCTCTGTAAATGCTGATTATGCAAAAGAGGACACAACTCTCCCAGGGACCCTACACTTCAATTTCACCTTGACTATCAAAGTGTCTGCGCGAAGGCTGTTTTATGACCACACCGAATTGGAACAGATGAGAAACACTACAGAGACATGAGGAGGGTAGGAAGATGGGGAAAAGAGAGATGAGGGAGGCAGAAGCATAAGACAAATCAAAGAGAGGACAGAGGGAAGAGAGGCAAAGAGGAACATTTTTCTCCATATCTCTGTTTCCACCATGTACTGCACATTTGGGGAGCCACTAAAAAACAAGGCTATTTGTCTATCAATCAGCAAGCATACATGTCAGAAAGGCTAAGTAGTCAGGGGACGCATTTTACCAAGCACACAGGAATGAATGTGTGTGTTTAAAAAAAAAAAAAAGTCTTTTTGGATACAGCTATTCTGAAGAAAGGCAAGTACATCTGCGAAAGAGTTTGAGTAAAAGCTCAGAGGTTTTTTTTTAAACTACCTCTGAAAGTATTGAAAGAATTAAACACCTCGGTGAAAGCAGTTATTGAATTGCTCATCAATTTTACTCTACTGCTGCAAATAAAGAGCAATAGGGAATGAGCAGGAGAGGAGAGTAATAGTAGCAGCGATGCTCATGGAATAGCAAACCATAGCTCAGCTGACACAAAGGCAGCCAGGTGCAGGGAGAGAGGGCGTCATCCAATTTCCACAAATCAAGGGCTGGGAGAAGACAAATGGTTAGGAAAGACAAAAAACAGAGGAATAAGAACAGAGCAAGCAAAAAGTAAGAGAAAGACACATGGACAGAAAGACATGGAGAGAAGAGCAGCATGAGCTGAACAAAAGGCAGCACTTCTGCTGCATTTTAATCAGGGCTCTACCTTCACTCGAATCCAACACCAGCAGAGTCCCCAGATTTGAGGCATTACCCACAAACAGAGGGGCCTGATCTGCAGTTATCAGATATACCTCCTCACTCCACTTTGTGAGATTAAAACGACTCGAAGCGGATCAGGCCTCTCCGACATAAGCAGCCGCAATAAAGTGACGAGCCAGCCTATAAAAAAAGTAATTTCTTGCTCAACAGTACAGTCGCGCCGCACGATGAGAGCAGATGTCAATTTAAAGTGTGGTGGCGCACAGGGAGGCCGGCTGCCTCATTTTCCTTTGTCATTTCCGAGTGAGGGAAAGATACAATGAGGCAAAACGAGCGAGCAAGCATGATGAAGATATAAATGAGAGAGCCTGTTAGAGAAGGAGAAAGACCCTGAAAAAAGATCGTCCCTACAGTAATTGCTCTTCATTTAGGCCAGCCACTGCTTGATGTAAGAGAGTGTGAGTGACTCAGCAAATTGCATCTGGGGTTCTATGACTGCTTGTTATCTATTCCAGTAATAAGACTATGATATCACAACACAAACTTTAGCAAACAAGTGCAAGTAAGAAGACAACATGGAGTTATCCAACCCCATTAAAAATACTTCAATCCTAACAGGAGAGGAAGCTGAATGGATGAACTGACATGCCCCTTTATCAGAAATCCATTGGTTATTGGACAATTCAGACCAGAGGAAAGGACGTCTTGTGTCTGTATAAACGTGTTTGCTTGATTCCTCTCTCCTCTCATTTTCTTTTTGCATGTGTTCCTCCCATCCATAGTGGGTGGGACTAAGACGCAAGTGGGGGGAATGTGGTTGCAATTAAGAGAAATGGGATTTACCCTCAATCACTCATTAAACCTCTTACTAATATTCTTTTTTCTTCAAACTTCCTTTCTTTCTCTCCCCCTCCCCAAACTTTCCTCAAGTTCAATTTCCACCAAGATTGTAAGCGGGGGTGTAAATCACCACTTTCATTCAATTCAATTTTATGTGTCAGCCCATACTGACTCAGAGATGTGCATGTGAGACACACATCACCCTGTATTCTATGCTTCAGAAAGGGTTTTGGGTGTGCCCCTCTGTCCTGCTCCTTGTGCATGGAAATAAGCCCCGCCCTCAGTCATGAGCTGTTATTCTGAAAGGTTCTCTGAGAGGAACAGAGCCATGAGATCTGGCTCCGTTCAAAGAGCCGCTATTCCCATCACTACTGTCCAATTTGAAAAGAACAGCGCTTCACTTGAACTTATGTAGCTGACTGTCAAAATAAAAGCACACAAAACTTTGATGTTTACATTTGGCGTCAATGTCATCAGATCGCGAGGTATTTGATCAATGTATCGATCAAGACTGAAGGATCATAACACTCTGAACTTGAAGTCATATCTGGCACCATCAAAAAAAAAAACATATCAGCCATTTTGGGCTGGAGTGAGTCTGTAATTTTGAGAATAGACAGCCACTATATCGGGGGAGCTGGGGGCGTTATCACATCAGGGAAAGGTATTGGAGAGAACGGGTTGCAAATGGCCAAGCTGATTGGATTTGATATCGCAACACCCTGTCAACTGACAGAACTCTACTGGATCCCTATGGGCACTGGGAACAAGAGTGAAAGGAACTGACTGAAAGGGCAGAAGATGCATCAATAAAAAAAAAAAAGCTTAGAAAGGAGGGGTTATTCATTTTACTTATTCGGTTTAACGGTGGTGGGACTTCTGAGGAGAGTCAGGGTGATGGCATGCTTTATATACGGTGTCGTGATATTCCAGAGGCTGATGAAGTGATGAGCTGTTTGTGACTCCTGTGAGGTGAGCTAGATCAGCTCTCCCTCGCTCGCCATCTTCTCCAAAGCAGCTACACCTGTCCCTTCAGATAACGGTCACTGCACAGAGCCTACGGCTGAGCTGATTTATTGCCGGTGGCATATCAATTACAGAACTCACCACTAGAGATGAGAAAGAGGAGGAGAAGGTGGCAAGACAGGGATGAAGATGAGGAAGGAAGAAGAGCAGCACTCAGGCTAATTCTCTGCCCTCTGCTCTGCATCACATGTGGGTGACATCTGGGACAAGAGGAAGAGGAGACAGGGTGGAACTGAGGACTTAAGGAAGCAAATATAGTAAGAGAGCCAAGGAACGTGTGAGCAAATGAGGGAAGGGCTCTGAAAAACACACCCTTATGGCTTAAAAAGACACTAAGAACACACACCCACTACACTTCATTCCTGTGAAATGGCATCCATACACACAAGAGACACACAAAACACAAAGAATGATCCGATAAGTTGTGCACATGCAAATCAAAAAAACTAAAGTGGCGTCTGTCTTAATCTGTCTTCCACGTCGTCACGCAGCAGCCAGCACACTTCAGAGCCTGGAGATTTGCCCAGAGGATGAAAGGGAGATGGGTGAGGGGTGGATGAGTAAATGAACAGTATGGGGAGGCAGCAAGAAGCGGGTTGTGGGTGGTGGTAGTAGAGGTGACTGGATGTTTACAGAGAAGGTAAAATAGAAGGGGAGCCCAGCCCTGAAGCCTTAATCCTCTTCCAGGGTCTGCCTAATCTCACCACCACTATCTGCATATGAGAAGAATGGATTACCATCCCCCGACACACACTGACGGATGGTTGGATTGACAAAGGGATGGGTGGCAATCCCTGCACAGACAACACACCCCCAAACAGACATAAACACACAAACACTGACTGAAATTATTATAAGGCAGAGGATGTGGGCAGCCCTCTGAACTATTTCAGTGCTTTGAAGACCCACACTCAGGCCTGTGCTCAGACACACACACACACCGCAGGTGG